TATCTGTCCTTTGTCCTCCCCATAAATTACTGTGAGCGTTAAAATCTCCACACCAAATTACTTTATTTTTATTTATTCCTTGAATTTCCTTTAATTTGTCAAGATTTAATTTTTCACATGGATTATAATAATTTATTATATTAAATAATTCTGAATTTATCCATACTTCTACTGCAAGAGATTCGTCTTCTTTTCCCCTCCTGATCACTCTAAAAGGCAAGTTCTCCCTAATAAATATCGCACAACCACCACCACTGCTTTTTTCCCTGTCACATCGTATAGAAATATAATTTAAAATTCTGAATTCTAATTGGGGTTTTAACCAAGTTTCTTGTATACATATTACATCTGGAGCATCTGCTAACTGATCTATGAAGTGTTTTAACTCTTGCCCATTAGATATTAGACTTCTTGCATTCCATTGTAGAAGTAGGACCATAATATGTTGGCTATCCTGCTGCTTCCTGACTTGCCTGCATACTGAGGTCATCCCTCACTTCTTCCCAAGTCAGCTCATTAATGTTAAAGTGATTTGCTGCTGCTTTCACTATTATTTGAATTCTCTCCGTTTTTGATTTCCGACACAAGACTGAGACAGGACAGGGTTTAAATACACAGAAGACTAATGACTGAACACAAAACACCTGGGGAGAAACACGAGGGTGACTAATCAAACAAATAAGGGGCAGCTGGACTGAGACACACTGGGGAACATAGAAACACAAGGAAAACCAAGATGAAAACTGACAAATCATGACAAAAACTTTTATTTACAGTGAAATATATTGTATTAATAATATGTTGCAACCACCCCCAAACAATGTTGCAACTGTCCCCATCCCCTGGGTTAGTTGCAACATTGACTTTTCATTTTCAAATGCAAATTGTGAAGAATGTACATTCTTTAAATATCTATAAATAGTTTTGACTATTAACAGATGTAGGTTTATTGTATTAAAATTTGGTTTGTCTAATTCAAACCATCTCTGAGTAACAGAGTCAAATGCAAAAAGTGTTGCAACTGTCCCTGGTCTCCCTATAAAATGTATTGTCAAGGAGCATTGTTACAACAAAGACATACTCTACCAAACACAAATTCTATACAATTTGCGCTAAGGGTATGTCTTTCTTAAAGGACAGTTGTCACACCCTTTGCCTTGTGGCTAGATGCATTATTACCAAACATCCTTGGAACTGATGAAATAAAAAAGGTTATGTCCTCACGATAAACCTTTGAAGGGAGGATCGTGGACTGGGCAAATAGAGCGTTGATCCAATAGAAACCCTGGAGACTCAAGGAGCTTCTGCAGATGGGAGGACCTGTTCATGGGACCATTATAAACTGCACAGAGCTGGGCTTCAGAGGAGTGACAAGAAGAACAGAAAGTTCAACTTAAAGAAAGGGTAAACTGCTGGGAATATGTCAAAAGACAAACTGAAGATTTCCCAAACGTGGAAAAGACAAAACTAAAATAGAACTTTTAGGTCAGCACTAGTCAAATAAATTGCTCAGAGGGTCACAGTTACTCAAAGCCAACAGCTCAGGCACCAGACATCCATGGTGGGCGGTGTTGCCAGAAAATGATAGGGGAAACACTGCACTATGTACACTGCAAAAAATATTACAATCTTATATCCAGCCAAAAGTTATTTTTGACCTTTTCAGATTAATGTTCTAAGCAGGGTTGCCAGATTAGATTAACAGTTTCCAGCCCAAACTCAACATAAAACCCACCCAACCACACACACAAAAATAAATAAATAAAAAATAACAGCCCAAATATCAATTGAATGTGTAAAATTAGTAATCGTTAGCCTGGATTTTTAATCATATTTCAAAAAGTCTTACCAAGTGCAGTTTTACTGCACTGGAAAATTATTTCACTTACTTTAAGAAGACTCAAACTACAATCTAGTATTTTCAACTTTTTTTTAGATGGCTAATTTTCCAGTATAAAAGAACAAGTATTACTTTTAAATTTTGCTTATTTTGTTGTATTGAATCGTAAATTTAAAATTCACAATTGATTTCAAAGCTGCTTTTATATCAAACAATAATTTATTTGAAACAATTTTTAAAATAAATGAAAAAAAAAGTTTGTGGGGTGGAGCAGTGTCCTGTTTTAGGCCATGAAGGCCATCATTATCAGCATCGTGCTGTGGGAATGATTTTCATCTGCAGAACCTGGAAGGTTCTGCAGATGAAAACCTGTCAAAGAAAGTAGAAAAATGGTGCAAAATACGGCTTTGAATTTAGAGAAATTCATCCTTTTGCAGCTCAACATATAAGCAAGATGTTTAAGTGAGTCATAACTGTCATGAAAAAGTGCTTCCTAGTGAGCTTCAATAATTAGCATAAATTACAGAAATTAGAAATATTTTCCAAAGAAACAAACAGAATCAAATTATCAGTTTAACCAAAGTAGTTTATTGAAGAAGTTTGCATTGGTTTCTTTAATTCTTATGTTATTTTGTCTTTTTTATTACACATCCATTTCTTTTCTTCCACCTCAGCTTGTCTTGACAAAATGTAGTAATATACACCATTTTTCAGCAACCGTGCCAGTTTATTCTCCTTGAATTTAAATATAAATTAAAAAATGAACCAGTGGAGGTCTCCTATGAGTAAAACATGTTTTAGCAAGCTGTGTGGTTTGTTGTTCACATGAGAATTATTCTGATAAATCCAAAACTGTTTTTTCTAAAAGGGAAAATGATGATTATAAGTCATTATAAGAACACGTTCACCAACCAGGAAGTTGAGAACCTGATAGAAACAGAACATTTAAACTTTAGCCCGTAGAAAACCTGACATCTAAAATAACCCAGCCATCTTCAACCCAAACCATATTTAAAATGAAAGAAAAGTGGTGATGAACAACAGCTCACATCACTTCACACTTCTACGAAGGTATGAACCACGTTCCACACAATCATGTGGTTAGAATCTATAAATGTGAACAGTGAGCTGCACGGCAGTAAGAACTGCACAGAGAACGTGGTCAGCTCAGACTCATGTTAGTAAAGTGCAAATGGCCCAAATCAACTGAATTCTGGCACTCAGAGAAGAAGTAAAAGCTCAGAGATCAGAGGGTGACAGACTCCTGGTTTCTGAATCTCATTTCAAACGCTGGCACCATGCCGACAGACTTTATGAAGCTCAGGAGCTCTGAGTCACTCCTCTGCTTTGGATGGTGGAGCTGCTGGAGCAGGACTGGCCTCGGCTGCGGCTCCTTTACTTTCCCCGGACTTCTCTTTCTCTTTTTCATCCTGGCTGTCGATCCTGGCATGCTCCGTCTTCACCAGCTCTTCCAGTTCCGCCTGCAGGGAGGGTAAATCGTCATCATGACTCATCGGTCTACGATGTGCGACCACAGCTTCACACTGAATCAGCTTCTCACCTTTTCTTTCCTCTCTTATACCTTTCCACCAATATGACCTCATGGCTGTTCTGTCGTGTTCTGTCTCATCTGATAAAGATAGCTGTGTAATAATGAACCTGTTGTTTCTAAAAAAAGATGTCTTTGTTTCCTCCTGCTGTTGGACCTTTCAGGCCAAACGCATGGCGCTATGACAGGCTCAGTCTAACCCCTGATGCCTCACAGCAGGAACGTCCTGCGTTCTTTCTGTGTGGAGTCTGCACGCTCTCCATGTGTTTCAGTGGGTTTTCAGTCCCCTGGTTTCCTCCCACAGTCTGGGAAAAAAAAGGTTAGACTGCCAAACAGATCTGTGTTCTCAGTGGGATTTGTCTGGTTAAATAAAGGGTAAACACATAAACGCTGGTGGTGAGAATGTTGTGGTTGGAACTGGAAATGGAGACTCGTGTGGCCGAGGCTGAATGGAGGAGAAGCACACAGAGGCACGCCACTGAAGAGGGGGCGGTGCAGTTTTACTGCCAACAACTAAACTTTAACACAGATATCAAACCAAACCTAAGCATGTGTTCTGAAAAAGCTTCTTAAAGGCAAATTCTATCCAAGCTTCAATAATCTGTCCTTGTCTGCAGATAAAGATGTGACAGTCTCCTTTAATCTTTTGTGATCCATTATTAAAAAAAGAAAAATAATCATTAACATTTCTGTGATATTTTACTTTTAAGAGGTATTTTATTTCTAGTGTGTATGTTCATACTGTAAACTGAATATTAATCTGAACTCCAGTGTTAAAGTAATTATTTCTCCTCTGTTTTCCTCCTGAACAGATGGGAATGTGACAGCTGCATGTCTGGTTGTCTCGACACCACTCTAAGTAAGCAAAGATATATTTTCCCCAGAAATAAATAGTTTTCTTTCTGGCAGTGACCTGATAACTGTGTTGTGACAAGAACACACAGCTGGACGCTGAACGAGGCAGCGTTAGGTTTCTGCTGACACTCGAAGCATTGAGATGTACTCGAGATGGACAGCTGGCCATCTGAGGAAAAATGTAATTATTACTGCAAAGTCAGAAGTTTCTTGTCAACTCCCCGGCTGGTGGGGGTCCTTTAAATGCTGTTGAGATGCAAAGCCATGCCGTCTCCAGAAGAAGCTGCTATCTGCCTGCAGTGAGGACCTGCAGGGACAGTTCCTGAATGTGTGGACTCCAAGCTGAAGGAGCCCCAGCCAGCCTGGATGAGATGTAACTGTACCTTTTTAAGGCTACACACAATGCTTTGCAGAGGTCTGAGGAAACTCAACAGTCAAGGCAAAACTGATAACCTTCAAATCCGCAGTAATACTGTACTAATACTTAATCTGACCAAGACATTAACATCTTTAACCTGGGTCTCTTGTCAATTAATTAATAGAAGAAAATATTTCCTTTGGGTAAAAATATATTTTCATTCTATAAAGGATTAAACATCCAGAGGTATCACATCAAGTCTACAATAAGTGTTACCTTTACCTGTTTTTTTTTTCCACTCTTGGAGGAGTAAGACACCTTTTCCTTCTCTCCTGCCATTCCTTATCTTCCCTGCTTTGCTGCTCGGAGCCTTCTCTACGTTTTCATCCGAAACCAGAAATTATTGATATTTTTATTTTTATGGATTTGGTTAGCTGGTCTCTTAATAAATTTTTGAAACAAAGTTTTTTTTCCAAGGGAGGACATGTTAAAGGTGGGACCTCTGTTCTGCTCTGTTCTGGATATATTTTTGGATTCTGATCACTGGATTCTACAGATTGGCTTGGTGGTCTCCTGGTGTTTCTACAAAACGGCGTCGGTGGCTATTCATTTTCTGGCTGCCTGACCAATATGAAGGATTGCCGTTCAATCAGCACTCAGACTTTTGCTTTGTGCGAGCTTGACTCGGTCTGCAAGTGGTTCTGCTGAGGGTCACGGGCCGGCTGTGGTTCCTGGACTTTGCTGGTCAGATGGAAATGATCTTGGAGAAGCTGATAACACGGCTCAGCGGAATTTGTCCACACTATTTGTCTGATTGGATTCGCCACCTTGAGATGTGCCAGCAGACTTTGAAGTAGATGGAAAATTGTTATCGTCTGTATGACTTCTGTTCCCAAAACAACTGATTACAGAATTTGGTTCTCCTACATGGACTTGAGAGCTGTGGAATAAATTATTCCTGGATGCTTACGTCGACCAAGGGTCTGCCCCACACCTCCCCTCCCCACACACGTCTGTGATCTGGTTCCTGGAGCAAGCTGAGGGCCACACAGAATGAACAGTTAACTTCCATATTCTGGACTACGGCTGCGCGGGTTTTGGGAACTCGATTCTTCGGGCTCATTTTTCAGATATTCAGACAAGTGCATACAACACTCATGGCTTCAGATACACACATCCCTAAACTCACTTACTCCTCTGGCTAATAAATGTGCTCTATGCAGAGTTTTTTTTATAAACACCATAGTGTGTCGATTTGTTGATATAATATGATGTTTTGTTTTGTTTTTTCTCATTTTCCCTTGTGTGTTTTTTAGTTTTTCTGTTAAGGGTAGTGCTGTTTTCATGAAGATGATCCTTGCTCTGTAAAGGGTCTGTGGCTGCATGACCCAGGGCACCTGTTCTACTGTTTGTTATGTTCTGTCTTCTTCTGAATGGGTGTTCTGAACTGTAATTTCATTGTGCTCGATACAATGACAATAAAGGTCTATCTTATCTTATCTTATCTTTATAAACCTTACTACTTTTCTTTCATGTTGCTATTTTTACCGTTTTTAGTCATGATTCAATGAAAGTGATTCTTGCTATATTTTTGTTATAAATTACCATAAAAGACAAGGATGGTTCCTCACCTTTAAAGGGGACTATTATGCAAAATTCACTTTTCAAAGTTTTTTTACTCAACTTTGGGCATGTACTTCTTAAAAAAACAGTCCTAGGACCAAAAAATGCACCCAGGGGCATATTTAGTGTAAGTAAATGTATTTTTAATGTTTATTAACGACAAGTTTTATACTTCCGTCATTTTGTGATGTCACAAGCTGTACGACAACCCACCGGAACCTGCGTTCAGCCCCTCACCTAGCAACCCCTGGGTGAAGCTCCACCTCCTCCATAAAAAAAGCTGTCACGGTTGTTGTTGTGCAATGCACAGCACATTTCACAACAAGCCTCCAATAGGGCAATGGGTAGTGTTGGGCCAGAGAGCAGGAGACCAGGGTTCAAGACCAGCACAGACATAATTTTATTTTTTATTTTCATTCGTTATGAACACGTTTTCTCATGTATAGCGGGTAAAATAAGTATTGAACACGTCACCATTTTTCTCAGTAAATACATTACTAGAGGTGCTAATGACATGAAATTTTCACCAGATGTCCGTAACAACCCAAGTGATCCATACATACAAAGAAATCAAACCATAAATGTCCAGAAATGAAGTT